TCTGGTGTGGAAACAACTCCATGCAAGTTAATGGAAGGAGGGAGAGAGGAAGAGAAGCCAGAAGGAGGCAAGGAGAGGAACCACAAATGCCCTTTCCTATGCCCATCACTCTGCACTGTAGTCAAAGCCATCAGGTGGTATTCTGAGGCTTCTGGAAGTTTGCTTTTGTTTTTGACTTTGGAGCCGAAAGCTGATGCTTCATAGCCTGACCTCATGTACAATATAGTACATGATAACACCTCTGGTGGAGACAAGCCAGCATCAGCCATGGGAGTAACTGTGGCCCCAAGTGAGTGTGAATAATCCTACCCTCCCTGAAGAAGAGATGCACAGGTGGTCTCCACACAGTCAGTAGCAGAATTCTACCCAATTCTTCGGTTCTGCCATCTTAGACCATAGGCTCTAATGGCACCTCAAAAGGATTTAATGAGAATTGCCATCCCCTCAGAATCTTGTTTGCCACACAGTTCCCCCATTTCTCTGCCAGCTTCATCTGTGCAACCGTCTTAGGTTACGCTGGGCAGATGGAGGAGGACTCACATTTCAAGCCTCCGCAGTCCACATCCCAGATCCTAAGCTGTTTTCCCAAGGAGGGAAGGGAGGAGGGATAAGGGAACAGTCCCCAGGAGACGACAGTGTAAAGTCTTCCTCAAATTTTCATCTTCAGCAGCTGGTATCATCTAACCCCCTTGGGAGAAACAAGGCTTTGTTGCTTAGGCTAGGAATCTAATCTCTGTATCTCTGGCCAAAATATCAATTACAGGTTCAGCTGCATGCTGGGATATACTGGAGTTCAAACAACTAAAACAATGGCATAAGTCTTGGGGGTGGGGGGCTGAGTGGACTGAGCCACCTGGCAGAAGTGAAATAAGGTAAAGCTGACTTCCCCACATCCTTGCAGATTAAGGAACCCAAGTCTCAACTGCTGTGTCTGGAGAAGCAGTTGCAGGGAGGCAAGTATCTCTAAAGTGGTTTTCTTCTTAGATGTCCCACTTAGAAAATGCTGCTATTCCTACAGCACGCTAACTCTCCTGAATAATGATGAGAATACTGAGCAAATGAGAAATGACTGTAATTACAGGTAAGGGTTTTCCCAGCCACAGAAGGTCACATGTTATGAGTTCATTTATATGAAATATCTAGAATAGGTAAACCCATGGAGACAGAAAGTGGATTGGTGGCTGCCAGGCGGTGAGGGGAGGGAGAGAGGGGAGACTGTTTTACATGGGCAATGAAAATGTCTTGGAATGGGTCAGAGGTAATGAATATACCACACTGTGAATACACTACATGTATCCATGGATTTTTTCACTTTTAGTCACTTGAGAACAGATCATTTTAGTTCTTTTTATGATGGTACTGGGGATTGAACTCAGAGCCTCACACACACTAGGCAAGCATTCTACTAGTACCCCTCCTCCACACTACTTTTGCTTCTTTCTTTCTTTCTTTCTTTCTTTCTTTCTTTCTTTCTTTCTTCTTTCTTTCTTTTCTTTCTTTCTTTCTTTTCTCTCTTTCTTTTCTCTATCTCTCCTCCTTCCCTATCTCTCTCTCCTTTCTTTCTTTCTCTCTCTCTCTCTCTCTCTCTTTCTTTCTTTCTTTCTTTTTTTGAGAGGGTCTCACTAAGTGGTCCAGGTTGGCCTCAAACTTACTCTATAGTTAGGGTAGGTCTTGAATCTGTGAGCCTCCTGCCTCAGTTTCCCAATTTCCTATGACTTACAGGCTTGATGATTAAGCCTGATTTAAAATGGTTAATTTTGGGAAAAAAGTAAAAATTAACTAATTAAGCAGCAAATTTTACGTTAGGTGAATCTCACCTGAATATTTTAGGTTGTCTTCATTTGGGGCGGGGGGAGGCGGTACTGAGGATTGAACCTAGAGCCTCACACTTGATAGGCAAATGCACACTATTAAGTTGCATCCCCAGTGAATATTTTAAGTATATGTTAAAGGATTCATCATTTCTCATTGCTTAACAATATCCTTGGAAATAAGGACAAGATTTTATTTTCATTCTATAGCAATAATAAAGATTAAACAGTTCTCAAAATTGTAGTCTTTGCTACTTTGTGGGCTTTTTATGTGTGTGTGAAAAGCATAATACTTTCCAGATGTTTGTACAGAGAAGTCAAACTAATGGCTTCTGATTGATTTGGCCATGCACTCTAACTTCTTTGTGTGTGCGTGTGTGTGTGTGTATGTGTGTGATTTTTTTTCTCCTCTATGTTGTATGAAGGGAGTTTCTTATCACAAAATGTTCTACAAGCCACAGAACTGTAGTATTATTTTCCTGGAAGAAGTCCTAAAAAGGGGAAAAAGCATCTGTTCTTTGTGATTAATCATGCTGTGAGATGAAATGTAAAATGGGGAGCGGGTTTTGGGTGGGGTTCTATTTTCCCTTTGACAGGAGAAAGGAGAGAGTGTGTCAGTCTCGCACTATCTGAGGGTTGAGCCATACCGACAAGGACTGCAATGCTGCATTTGTGTAAATGTCCTGGGCAGAGCAGGTCCTTGCCAGGGATGTCCTATTATCATGGCCACAACGGCACATGGGTGGTAAGGTAGAATTTACAGGGTCCTAGCTCTTGTGGTTAGTGATTATCACCTTTGGCAAACCATTTGAGTTTCCTGAGATGGTAATATTCCAGCGAAGGTGGCTGTGGTGGATTGAACTGAGTCACCCTTCCCCCTTGTGATTTAGTTGAAAACAGGGTTGCTGCACAAGTAATTAGTTAAGAAGAGGTCACAACTGAGTAGGGCAGGCTCTTAATTCACTATCCGGTGTCCTTGTAGGAAAAGGGAAGATGCCGTCTGAAGATGCGCACAGCAGGGGCGCCATGTGACAAAGAGTCAGACTAGAATGGCGCAGCTGCAAGCTGGAGGCTGCCAATGATTGCCAAGAACCACCCAAAGGTGGGCAGAGGAAGGAAGGAGTCCTGATGTGTCTGATGGGGAGCACAGCCCTAACTTGATGTTGGATTGCTAAGGCTACAGAATTGTAAAATGAGAAGTTTCTGTTTTTTTCAGCCACCCAGTCTCTGGAACTTTGTAACAGCAGTCCTGACAAACTAGTATGGTGTGGAGGTTTAATTTATTTATTTTTTTGAGTATATATATTTGAACTGCCAAGGAAGCACACTTAGAAAAAGTCACACAAACAAGAAAATGTAAACTTCTTTGTATTAACTGGTTATGGTTTGAATGTGTCCCCCACAGTTCACATGCTAGAAACTAATCCTGAATGGAACAGTGTTGGGAGGTGGGACCTTCTTGGTCACGAGGGCTGTGTGTTCAAGGATGGAAAGGCATTGTAACATTGGCTTTTACCTGGAATGGGCTTGTATTAAGGTGAGTTTGGCCCTCTTTTGCCCCTCACTCTTACCCTCAGTCGCCCTTTACCTTCTGCCATGGCATGACACAACACAAAGGCTTTTACCAGATGCCAATGCCAAGCACCTGGACTGTCAGGCCTCTAGAACCATGAGCCAAATAAGTCTGTCCTTCATAAATTACCCAGTCTCCCATGTTCTGTTTTAGCAACAGAAAACAATATCTAAACCACAGAAATCCCTTTATTTCCTTTGGATGCAACATTGCCTCTCCATACTCACCTCCCACTACCTCCTACCCATCTATGCTGTCTCAGCACTTTGCTTCTGACAATGCCTGCAATACCCCAGCTGCATCCCCCCTTTAGGCCTTGGCATTGCTGCCTTCTCCACCTCAGACATGCCCAGGGTAGCCCCTGACTGCCTGACTTGCTTCTGTCCTCTGATATCTTAACACTGCTGTGTGGATCACCTCCCTCAGAACTCATTCCTTACTCTGCTCTAATTTCTCCTTTCCCCATGTTCTCCCTAAATTCCAATGTCCAGTTCCACATTTGCTCTGTGCATAACCTATGATGTTTCCCTCACACTAGGGCATAAGCTCTGCGAGGGCAAGACACCATACCTGCTTTGTTCGGTGACATGAACAAGCATCTAAAACAGTACCTAGTTCACTGGAGGTGCCCAGCAAGAAATTATAAAATTCATTATTCGTTTTGTTGTTGTTGTTTTTGAGACAGGGTCTCCCTGTAGCCCCATCTGATCTGGAACTCACAATGTAGACCAAACTGGCCTCAATCTCACAGAGATCCACCTGCCTCTGCCCCCCAAATGCTAAGATTAAACATATGTACCACCATGCCTAGCCCACAGTTCATTTTTAAACATCCACCTTTTGGTGAAGCTATTCATGTCCACTACAAAGAAATTGGAATAATTAGAAACTTCAAGCTCCTGTCATCCATTAAAACCTTTCAACATAAAATAAACAGAGTGGTTTTTAATCTTCCCTTAGGGGGTCCTGTCACTTGAGGAGAACTGTCATGACAAGTACAGCAGCTCTTTTATAAGGTTTAGTGTGTGGACTAAGTGTGCCAGTTATATCTAAGAACTTAATACAATGCTTGCCATAAATAATATTGCTAGCTATCTTAACTTCCATCTCTCCCCACCTCCTAACTTAGGTGCAGCTAAAATAACGGAATAGTCTGTTCTTAGGAAGGAGACAGGTAGGGATGTCTCCTAGTCCCAGACTTAGAAGAATACCAAAGCACATAGCACCTAACCTTATGAACCAAAGCCACCATGAGATGCAACACTCCTTACCATTGCAAAGACTTGTATAACAGCAACAAAACAAAAATGACAGTGACATTTTATTTCACCCTCCTCCTATTTGCAAAGGATTTTCTTGTAAAAATTTTTAATTTTTAATTAAAGAGCTGGAGTTCAAGATTGTAAGCAAGTTGTTCGAGCTTCCTCAGCTGGGAGGTAGAAGGGCAGGGAACTAAAACTAGAATCAGAAGATTGTGGGTGACAAGGATCATCTCATTTGATGTTTAGTGAATATATACTACCCACCTTTATAGTCCCATTCATAAAAAGTGAAGTATTCTTCAGTACTTTCTGCATAAGTGATTTCCCATCCAGCCCTCTACACAGGTGACTTACCTTTACGAATGGACACAAATCCTTTTACTGTTAGACAATTCTCCACCAAGCTTTTCTTCTTTTAAAAAAGCAATTCCACCTTGGTGCTAAGTGCATCAGATGCTAAGTGCATCAGAAAATGGGGTGCATCACCAAGACAGCCTGGAAATCACAGCTCTTGGAAACTGTAGAGGAAAAAACAAAGCATCAGACACAATTCATGTCCTCTATCCTCTCCTGGAAGCCTCTAAAATGATTCTCTTTTCAAGGTCTACATAAAAGGTTTAGGGGATTTTTTTTTTTTTTTTTCTGTGCTGAGACTTTCGGTTGTGTTTAAGTAATACCGCATTTCATTGCTTATCCTGATTTTTACTGTAAGGCTCTAAAACACTTATTGTAAACTTTCTACTTTTGAGGAGACAAAGGAATCACATCCATGAATATTGAGACTTTCATATTCCTATACACAGAATCTCACATTTACTCCTCATGATAGATTAGCTCAAATTCAAGGAGCCAGAAGACACAAATTCAACGCAGCAGAGAGAAGGCTGGAGTCATTAGTTATCTCTTTTTCAGAGATAGTGAAGGTACCTGATTACTGGATTAAGCATTTCCTGTGGGTAGGACACCTGTACAATCTCTTCTAACCCTGTCTTAATGAAGACAGTGGATTTTAACTAGGAGCCAAAGAGGGACATGTCCAGGAGAGACCTCAGACACAAGTACATCCTTTGTAAAACCCAGTGAAACAAACAAGGTTCTGGGATGAGAAAAAAATGTCAGGGCTCTGTAGAGGAGGCTTCTCAGTTCTGGCTATGAGAGATTATCTTGAATCAGACTAACTTCCCATTGAATATGATGACTAGAAAAGTTGGGTAAAAATAATCTTATTTAAAGGTATGGGACAAGCCGGGTGTGGTGGTGCATGTCTGTAATCTCAGCACTCAAGAGGCTGAGGAAAGAGGACTACAAATTGGAGGCCAGCCCGGGCTAGAGCTAAACTCTTTTCTCCAAACATACACACACACACACACACAGAGAGAGAGAGAGAGAGAGAGAGAGAGAGAGAGAGAGAGAGAGAGAGACAGAGACAGAGACAGAGAGACAGAGAGACAGACAGAGACAGAGAGACAGGCAGAGACAAAGAGACCAAGACGATATTAAAGAGAGAGGAAATTAAACTAAAACAAGTAAAACATTTTGTATGGACTTTCCTTTCCCAACATGGAAAGGAAAGCTTTTTCAGAAGCACACAGCAAAATTGGCAGGAACCCCAGAAGAAAGATACTGTTTAGAAGCATGAACTTTTTGTCTACCTCACAGGCTGGGAAAATCTGAAAGGGAAAGAAAAAACAAAAACGCAACCCAAAGTTCTACCTCCAGAAAACAGCACTGAGAAGTTAAACATAGCTCTTGACAATTCCACAGTGCTGGGGGATGACAACTAGAATTCAGGGCCCAATCGCTGAAGGAGTCCAGGTTAAATAATAATAGTAATAATAAATAAACAAACAAATAAAGAAATAATAGTGCTTCCAGTAGCTCTGAAGCTTGCAGTCTTGGATGAAGGCTGAAAAATGATCAAACTCAGCCTTATGTGAGTGTCCAGTCACTCACGGCATTAAGGAGGCCTGGTCTACTCTAAATGCTTGTCAGAAGCAGAAGAAAAAGACCCTAGGAGAAAAAACCAAAACCAAAACCAAATCCAGGCTCTAGGATTTCTATGCTTAAAATGCTGTGTTCAGTCAGCAATGGTGAGATGATGCCCAGGCAGAAAGCAAAGAAAGAATCGGGCTTGAAGACAAACTCAGGCACAACCCAGAGACACAGAGGATGTGGTCTTTGAAGTAGCTGCGATTAACATGCTCACGACATGAAGACTGTAAAGGACTGTAACACATAACTCTCTGCAACTCACAGAGCAAGCATAAGATTTAAAAGAGGTAAAGAAAACTGGGTAAGAATAGAAGAGATTTGAGCAACACAATTAAACTCAACCTTAATCACCCTACGTGATACTGCACCTGATGTTTATGACCATATACTCCTAAAAAAGATTTTACTTATTTGTCTGCGTGTGTGTGTGTGTGTGTGTGTGTGTGTGTGTGTGTGTGTAGTGACTGCAGGTACTTGTGGAGGCCAGAAGAGGGTGTTTGACTCCTTGGAGCTGGAGTTATAAGTGGTTGTGAGTCACCTGATATGGGTGCTGGGAACAGAATTTGGGTTCTCTGCAAGAATAGGACATGTTCTTAATCACTGAGGTATCTCTCCAATCCCATAACTACATATTCTTTTCAGGGCTGTATATCAAACATTTATAGAAATTAACCATAGGCAGGCCATGAGTAGGTCTCAGGAAATTTCAGCAAATGGAAACAATTTTTTTCCCCCCTTGGTCTCTTAATTTTTTGAGACAGGGTCTCCCTGTAGCCCCAGTTGGCCTGGAACTCACTATGCAGATTAAGCTGGTCTTGAACTCACAGAGCTCCACCTGCCTCTGCCTCCCAAGTGCTGGAACTGAAGGCATGTACCACAACATCTGGCAGACAAAGTGTTTTTAAAACATATTTTGAAATAATTACAGGCCTATAACACCAGCTGAAGCAGGACAATCACAAGTTTGAGGCCTCCTTGAGCTACAGAGAAAGTTCAGGACTAGCCTGGGTAACTTAGTGAGACCCTGTCTCAAAGTTTAAAAAATACACATCTCACACACACACACACACACACACACACACACACACACGAAAAGGTTATAATGAGGCCCATGATTTTGTACATTAAAAACTTAATTAAAAAAACAATAAAAAGAATAAATATATCTAGATGCTTTTTTTTTCAAATATGAGTACAACATAATTAAGGAGTATGTTTGGTATGACACTTTGGGAGCCTGTGGGAGGAGGAAGAGAAAGAAGAAAATTTGAACTCTAGAATATATCATTGGAGCTAGGTGTGTTGGCATATACCTTTAATCCCAGCACTCAAGAGGCAGTGGCAGGTGGATCTCTGTGATATTGAAGCCAACCTGGTCTACATAATGAGTTCCAGGCTAGCCGGAACTCCAGGGGCTACAGGGAGACCCTGTCTCAAAAAAATGTGTGTAGATGGGTTGAAGGGCAAACTCCTTGAAATGTATCACAAAGAGGACTTGAAACTTGCCATGGAGGAGTAAGGCAAGTTTCACAGCCCCTCTGTGTGAGTCACCCCAGTAACAGGACTCAGGAGTTAGCAGCTGCTGCTTCAAGCTCTCCGCCCAGCAGTGAGGGAGGCCTGGCGTGAGGACCATGTTGCCAGGATTCGCTTACAAGCCATGATGCCTGTGACCTGGCAGTTGAGAACAGATTGTAATAGAGACACAATTGAGCTACTCAGAAGCTTTCTGCCCAGGAGTGGCCACTGGGCTCCTTGCTGGTTCTGGCCAGCCAGAATTGGGTTTCCATCTGCAGGACCTCAGGTACAGGGTCTTCTTGGCCCATTCTCAATAGCAATTGGCAGAAGCAGCAGCGACACCAGTTTCAGTGGCTCTCAATGGACACGATGGCCTGGAAAAATGATACTTTCCTCCTCTGAGGCCCCCAACCCGACATCAGGGGACGGCAGTAATTGTCTGTACTTTGGGTCAGGAAGCCCTTATTCTAGTCATGGCTAGATATGAAATTCTTTGTGAAACTGGAAATAAAAAGGTTGTAAATGATTTCCTTCCCTTCCTCCTCTACCTCCACGTGTTCTCGGGAATACAGAAACCCTACTCCTCCATCTCCTGCCTTCCCCAGCAAAGCTTCCGGGAAGAGGCACATGTGAAACATCTACCGAGCTGCCAGGTCGGGCTCTATAGCTACTGTCAAGCCTAAACATCCCAGGTGCCTTTCCCAAGGAGGTTCAAAGCAGGAAATTCACACCACAGTGTGGGTTTAGGATCTTCTCCTGTCCTTTGCATGGAAAACACCTCTTAGCCAAGTACGGGTTTGAGTAATCTGTAAGATTAGTGCTATTACTAACTTTATCTTTCTCTTTCCATTGTAAAATTTCACAGGTAAATGATCTGTACCTGCTAGCTCTAAGGCCTGTTCCTGCTAGCTCCATGATTTACACCTGCTAGCTCCCCCGCTGATGGCTGCTAACCCCAGCATCTCAGCATCGTTCTTCCCTTCACCCTCAAATCACTCATATTACACTCTCAAAAGTCACCAATAACTTCTGAGTCCCAAATTAAAATCTTGCTCATTTTGCAACTAACATACCTTCTGACCTATAGCCCAAAATACAGAATGCTGAGTCTCACTACAAATTTTCTTTCTTTACTGTCCTTGGTATTATGTCTTCCTGATGGCTCTGAACCCTCTACACATTTTACAATCTTTTAAAATTTTTATTTCTTTGTATTTTGATGTTTCTGAGTGTTTTCCTGAACGCATGTAAGTGCACTTGTGAGCACAATGCCTGCAGAGGCCAGAAGAGGGCGTCAGATCCCCTGGAACTGGAGTTAGGACAGTTGTTAGCCATGTGGGTGCTGGAAACTGAACCCAGGTCCTCTGCAAGAGCAGCCAGTGATCTTAACCACTGAGCAATCTCTCCAGCACTCTCTACACAATTTTTATCTCCCCCACTGACAAATCTTCAAAGCAAAGTAAGCATCTGTACAGACCAGCTGTCATCAATACTGGCCATTTGACATCTTTATTCTTTATTTCTCTCCATGTCTACTTAGTTTTAATTTTAAAAAAATCTTGTTTCTTTGACTCTCTCATTGACTTGTTACCTCTGTCACTGCCCTAACCCAGGTTTTCATCTAAGCTTGACTTGCTGCAGCACCTCATTATTCACAAATTAACTCAGTACATCCTGCTGGCATTAGGCTACTGTTTCTACAAAACACGCAACTACTTCTGGTTACTCACACAGTGAATTTCTTAGTGTGGCATCCCAGACTCTACAAGTGGACCATACTTTATCTCTCCAAGCTTTTTTCCATACCCAACTCTTAGTAGCCCCCCACACAAACTGTCTGTGCTGGACACAAAGGAATCCTTGCTATCCCACAAGAATATCCAGGCTGAGTCTCAGCCCCAAACTCCTCTCTCTCCCTTCCTCTCCCTGCCCATGTTCTCTCATCTCTTTCTTTTATTCTTTCTTCCCTCCCCTTTTTTCTTTCTTTCTCTCTTTCTCTCACTCTTTCCTC